TTTGCATAACAATGGAAACCCGAACATTCCTGGAGTGGGGACTCAAATGCCAGCAGTTTTCTTCATTTTTCACGCTCGAGCATGAAATTATTCATTATCTGACACTCTTTATGAGCTCTATGATATCAGTGGTTAATATGTTTGGCCATTTTTAGTGTATATTTATAATAATGCAGCAAATCTACAGTGTTTATTAACCAAGATTGTTTTTCGCGTTTTTCTCGAATTGAAGTTTCGATTGAGTACGACTCATTGGGACCGCCGCCAAATCAAGTGCGTTCGGACTAGGACATTCAAACTCGCAGTTATCGTTCAAAAGATAATGATGGTGCGAAATATGTCTGGGTTTTTAAAGAAAATGCTTTGTCACAGAATAATAGTCTGTTAAAGGTGCCAAGTATGAAATAATTTGAGGACAAAAAAACAAACCTGCATAGAAATCGGAATAATAGGTCTTTTGATTATCGGAGACGCATTTCAATGGACTTGATTACGGACAATGCATGACGTAAATTTCACCAGGAAATTCCGCAGTGTGCTCTCGCAATCGAGGACTTAGTCATTTTTACAAGATTCGCCATTTTTGATGTCACGTGATAATTATGTAAACGATGACCGTCCAGTTTGTGCGAGCTTGTACCTCTATACTTAGTCTTTTGAAATATATAAGCTAAATTACTCTTCTGAACAAGACAACAGACAGAGAATGATTTATTCGAAAACGTCACAAAACCCTTCTCGCTACCTTAATTCGTGTGTTTTCAAAAATTTGTTCTTCATTGCATATCACCACCTTGTCTCATCATTTGTACATCCATTATTATGAACATAATCAAGTTAGCTTTACTGTGATTTGCTATATATTTTGCCAGAAAATAAAAATACAACTACACTTCTGGTAAATCATAATTTTTTTTTTTAAGTCTTGCTGTTTTGCTGAAATAGCACTAAGCAATCCTTTGTTTATTGTGTTTCAAATTTGGACAAACGCAGACAAATATAAATATTCAATAGCGCTTATCCTCTATTAGAAGTGTATGTGTTTTCAGGATTAATAAAGGGAAATATTATCTACATAAGAAAGTTACATGTAAAAAGCTTGTAATGATAGAAATATGGTACTGTAAAACCATTTATTTTCACTGGCATTTGATTTCACTATTTTGATGCTTTCAGTAAATTTGTAAGTTTTAAAGGCCCAATTTAATTCACTTGCCCAGACAAGTGTGAATTGAAGGTGTGGCTATGCTAATGAGTGTTGTTAATCACTTGCATAGCCTATGACGCACCCTGTTTCAGTGGTCCAACATCACGTGACTTTGATTGACAGTAGTTAGTTGATCAAGATTAGTAGCGCGTCCCTTTCCCTGGTTCGTGTTTTTGACTTTTATCCACCAAAATCTCAGCTGGTACACTATTTATTGTCATAAATACTACACACAGTCACTGCTGTGATATTCATAGTCACATGCATCAACTTTGGCACAACATAATCGACCTATAAGTTTGAGAAAACGCGTTTTTACCGAAGCTTGGCTGGAGCCGTTTACTAAAGAGTGACAAGCAAGGAAATAATCCCTATTGTTTAGGAGCATATTTATAGTATACCTGGGCCTTTAAGTTCACAAACTTTGCAGAGAAACAATGGAATCTATTGTTATTTCACATGTTAACATTTAATTTAGCACATTTTACTTCACAAAATTAGTGAAAATAAAAAACAGTGTATAATTAATGCATTTACAGTACTAGAATAACACAATCTGCTTCTATAGTAAAATAGAAATATAATGGAAAATACAGTAACAATATCTTACTTGGGGTTCTTCTTGATGTTATCGTAGTAATAACTTGCAATGCCATGTCTAATAATGATGTTTCCTTCTTCTGTTCAGCCAAAAATGGATTACTTGGGCGTTGACTTTCTTCATAGATGCTTGTATCACCTAAACCTAAAAGTCAAAACATATAAAAAAGAGGTATTTTTTTCAAGATTTCAAAACTACATGTACATGTATCTATGATTGTGTAACAAAATTGTCACATTGACAGGACGGGGACTGAAGTTGGCTGAATAATAATAAAACTTGATATCACTACAGTACTGAGAGTTTAAAAACTGATGTTGTTATATCAATGTGACAACAACCAATATGGTCATTATCTGCCAGGGAAAACATTAATCAAAGAACGCTTAGAAAAAAATCGCTTTTCAAATGAGAAGCTTGGCAACTAATATTTGTCAGCTATTTAAATGCACAACATGAAAACAATGTGATTCACATTATCAAAATTACATACAGAAAATACATTTGATTTTTCAGACATGGTTTTCAGTACAATTTATTCCAGAGCACCTATGTCATGAATTCAATTCAAATCTGATTTTTTTTAGATATCACAAGTAGGCTAATAATAGATGTTTT